CATTGAACCACAATACCGACAAGTAATTAATAAAAGTCAAAAGACCAAAGAGGTCACCTTAATATCAAAAAAAAAAAGTACTGTAAAATTCTTAAATATAATTTATAGATTCTACTATTATATATCTATAATAATATTAAAAATATCTTTGATTTATATTTGCATATGTTTCTTTTCCAATTTAATTATGACTATATAAATAACCTTATTACTATTATAGTTGTTATATGAAACCCAAAAAAGAAAATTATAATAATAAAGTTTATTGTTATAATTTTTTTTTTAGATTTTACCTAACAATTATACTACTAATATACATATAACTTTAAGTTATTAATATATAATCACATAATCATAATTGAAATTTAGTAAAAAATATAAAATATATATTAGAAGTATATTAATTTTGTAAAGTTTCAATATAAATTTAAACATATATGTTTCTCTAAAGGCATCAAAAAAGAATCTTTTCTAAGTTTTATAATTGTGAATAGTGAAATTGTGTACAACTATATATTTCTTTTGAAAATAAGATTTTGGCTATTATACTATACTCAGATGCAACTACACTTGACTATTTAGAGAAAAGTTTACAGCATCTAATTTATATTAGTTTAGAAAATATTCTAACAAATCTTCATAATAGAGTTGAGGCCAAAGCACTTGTTAGTATCATATCAGTATTATAGGAAACAAAAAAAGAACAACAAACACCACAATTTTGACAATTAATTAGAACAGTCTTTTACAAATATATTAATATATTAATTAAGCTATTATATTCACAATATTGTTTTAGAATATTACTAAAGGTTAATAATTATAATTTAAGATGTAATATAATGCTTGCCTGTATTATTAAAAACTGATCTAAAAACTGTAAATTATGTTTAACCTATAGTAAAACAAGTTGTGCATGTCTTTGTTATACTTGTCTTGTAGAAAAAAATAAATTAAATGTTATTAAATTATCTGTTAATTACAAAATTACTTGAACAAAAAGTCAGATAAAACAAATAATTATAATAAAACAAGGCAAAAAGTACTTATTACACAAAGATATAAATAGCTTTTGGAATCATCTGTAAGTTGTTTATTAATAGTATTTAAATAATAGAATTTTTCTAAAAATACTTATAAAAATGAAATATACCTAGTATAAAAAAATATATAAGTTGTTGCCTAGCAAAACTAAGCTTAGATATGCTTTTTATATATTCTAAACATGTTTTATTAGGCAATAACTTACATAATATATTAGATTAGAACAAGTTAAATTAAATCATAATTAAGGTATATCTATATGTAAAATTAGACTAAACATTTTTACTTAAGGCATCTATATTGATTTTTAGAATATTAATAATTTTTTTTTTTTTATATATCCAGGCTATATATACAATCTACAAATAGAAATCTATTAAATAATATTAAAAATTTTATTTAAGCAAATAATTTATATTTTATTATTATCGAAATTTTAATATTTATACAACTACAGTTTCTAAGTAAATACATCATTTAAATCTTAAGCTTTTTTCATATGTAATTAAATTTATACAAGATCTCTTAAAAATTCATGATAAAAATGCTCTTATTAATAAAATAGATCAAAGACTTGGAATAATACCACATTTTCTGGAATTAAAAATATTTAATTTTAAGCTTGCTAATCTTGTTTTGTTTATAGCTAAAGAGTATAGACACATAATGAAAGTTATGCCTTTTGTTTTAGAAGGTCTTTTTACAAAAAATAATAATAAATTGCTTGTTTAAATGTTCATTAATTGGAACAAAATATATTACTATTCAAAATAATGTAAATTTACACAGACTAATCCTCTTTAATTTGAGTTTAGTAATTTTTATAAGACTTTTTTTTTATTATATAAATAATTGAGTCTGCACTAGTAATATTACTAGCAACAGGTAATTTTATTTTTAAATAAAAATTGATTCAGACATGAGCCAAAAATTTTGCTAAAATTCTTGGTTTATTTACAAAAAATGACTGTTAATTTTTAAAATTTCACTACTAGATTTATTATACAATCGAAACAATTAAGAAGTATGAGATTTAAATGAATTAAGTTCTAAGATATATAAGATACTTCATAAGTTTTATATTAAAACTTCTTACAAAATGTTTAATAAATGTGATATTAATAAGCAGATCTTGCAAAGGGTATTCTTGTGTTTGATGCATGTGCATGTATATATATATTTTTTTTTAAATATTAAGATGAGTACTTGTAACTTAGGATTTTATTGATAGTATATTTGGCAATAATTGCATTGCAACTATAGGGAGCAACTATAAAAAGAGTATACAACTAGCCACTTGTACAACTTTAGTTATTGTTTAATTTAAGTAATCAGTCTGAAGTTTTTATACTAGCTGTCATACTTGAAGCCTGCTTGTAGGTTTCCTATTTAACTACTCTAGTTTTTGTATTCACTACCTACCTCTGCCTACCAATGATCCTGGCTAATGTTGATAAAAATATGCAATGGCTACTAAGTCTTTAAAGCAGTTTACTCATATAGAAAATCTTTAACCTTGTACTAAACCTTTCAAAACTTCTGTATTCCATTCTTATAGCTGACCTGGTATCACTATGGCTGAGACCAATACTGATAGTCAGGATGTATTATTAAACTGCTATGCCCTTGTAGAATTCACCCCAACCCCAGTACTGACTTTACAACATATTCTTATTACTTTGGTATTTAATTTAAGTTCTACCAAGCTGTCATTTCAGATAGCCCAAAAAGGTAAAGCAAAACCATATCTCTGGTTTATATGTTTGCTGACATGTACTCTTTTTCTTCAAAATCTAAAAATTCTGACAGCCTGGTTGGTTCATCTGGTTCCTCCTTAAAGACCAGCACATTTGCCTGATTTCACAAGTTCTAGCTTTATTTTATAAGTCTAGTCTTTATAGTAATACTTCAAAAGTTTGAATTACCTCTCTACTTAGATCTTTCAAGTAGGCTTTCATCTTTTTATCTAGTTTCTGTGATTTACATGGCCTAAGGACTTATCTTTAGTTTACACCATCTGGCACTAGTTTGTGTTTTCTTGTACAACATTGTATAAGTGCCTAAACCTTCCAGTTATGCTAATATGATACAGGTTACAGGTATCTTATCTTAACCAATCATAGAAGACAGTTAGCCATAATATAGAAAGAATTGCAAATTTTTATTGTTACTAAGATTTGAACTCTAGACCTGCCACTTGGAGGTTAACAATTTATTCACTTTACTAGGTTGCCACACTTCTATGCATGTGTATTTACTTTGTATTAATATAATAATAAGATACTTATTGTTATTAGATAGTATGAACCATTACAATAATATTTATAATCATATTGTTTCTAAAAATTACTAATCAAAAATTAAAAAAAAGGACAATTTGAAAAAAAATATTGTATCATACCTCTGCATCTTCTAAGGTCACTTGTTGATTATATAATTATAATGAAGAAAGCATTATTAAAATTCTTAAAAGTTTACATCATCTTGCTTCTGCATTAAATAACTATTTTAAAGTTATACCTTCTATATTTGAAAAAAATATAGAAAAATCAGAAGCAATTTTAATATTATATAAATCTTTTATATTATCTAATGAAGAGCAAGTAAGAGCTTCAAAAAATTATTACAATGCACTAATATTTAGTGATATCACTATTTCTATGAACTCAGAACAAAAACTTGAAATATGTAATAGATATTGTTTTGCAAAAATATATATTTAAAATAACTATAGGTTTATTTATAATTTATATTAACTATTTTAATTTTATAGATTTTATTATTAATTCGTCTTATAATTAAAAATACTTCAATGTTTAATTTGGCACTTGTTTATTGGTATGATTTTAAACATTCAAACATTCTTTTAAAATTTTATAAATTTGAGTGTTCTTATTTATAATTAACAAGTATTTACAATATAATTCTAATAGAATAAATAAATAATATTGTTTATATTGTTCTACAGTTTGATGTAATAAATTCATATTGTTATAGAGTTGTAGCCTTCTTAGTACAATACAACCAAGTAACAAGGTCACTCAGTATAGTGATTGACTATTGCAAATATATATAGGGTGAAGGTGTAGTAGTTCACTTTACTACACAGCAGCAAGCAAATAATTTGAGATAGTAACAATATATAGATTAACTTTTATTAAATAAACACACAGTGACAACTTTGCCTATAGGAATTATCCTAGAGAAGAAATATCACTTTTACAAGTTAGAGGTAAAGGTAAAAGAGTTTAGGTTAAAGTATAGGAACTTAGAATTGGCAGAGAAAGGTAAAAGCTACCCTTTATATATCTTTTTACTTAGCAGAGATAGTGAGGATTTAGGCAACATTACTTTATACTGTACTTAGGATAATGGAGGTTTGAACAATATTAAATATCATTGTAGTTGGAATAATAGAAGTTTGAACAACATTAAATGATACTGTGTTTGGGGTAGTAAGAACTATGCAGAGGCAACTAGAGATATTGTTTATATCATTTGTTATTCATGTTTGACACACTTAGAGCTTGTGTTTAGGCACTTGGATCTGTGCAAAGGCACTTGGGATTTGTGCAGAGATGCTTGGGGTTCATGCAAGAATACTTGGGATTTGTGTTGGAGATACTTGGGATTCTTGTGCTATGGCACTTGGTACAGTAATCTGGTGCTAAAATACATAAAACTTGTACAGAGGTATTTGGAGTTTGTAAGATAATAGTAACATTACAGATGTTACTCAGTGTCATGTGGCTGTATCATATTTCGAATAGCCAATTAAGATTCTTTTATCTATTTACTATATAATATAACTATTGACTAACTAATGACTAATAATAAATATAATATAAAATACAATAAT